GTTGCGGGGCCTGCGGGCCCTGACGCGGCGCCCTCTGCTTTGCCAGGACCCCCAGGGGCAGCTGGCGCGGCGGCATCTCCGGTCTCCAGGCCGCGGTGAGTCCCTGCCGGGCCCTGCTCGGTGGCTCCCCCGGGAGCGGCCTCTTCAAAGCCCAATTGTGACTTTCATGTTTTATTTTTACCTTACACTGTACATCTACAAAATGCTGCCGAGTGTGACACGGAGCAGGCTGATAAATATTTTTACTGAGCTAATACTTAATACAATATTTACCTGAGCTTCCCCCTTCCCTCCTTCTCTGCCCAGGAGATACTTTTTCCTTTTCCTTTCTCCTTTTTTATCCATAGTGTATTTTCTGATCAGTGCCTCTGGTGCTGTGGCAGCTCACCCAGGGCTGAGTTAGGGTGTTAACTGAGTTCTCTGCCCTACAGATCCCATCCCCAAGGTCCTGCCAGCCTGATGGCACCAAGGAAGAAGCCCTGCGGTGTGAAATCGAAGAGCTGAGACAGAAAGACCTTGCTCTAGACCAGGAAATTGCACAGTTGTTGTCTGAGTATGTCCTTAGCAAGCTCAGTGTTCATTGTGATGCCTCAATTGTTCCTGTTTTTAAACCAATATATGGTCTAAGAATTAGAGGTGACATCCTATAGTGCCATTTTTATGAGAGTGCTGCACAGTGTTGATTGCAGTGTTGTAGTGAGTTATGGGACCTGCTCAGGACAAGAGGGAATTCTTTCCAGTTCATGTGGTAAAGCAAAATGAATTTTACTAGGAACTTGGATAAGGAGATTTTAACTTTTCTCTAGATGTTGCTGAGGTGATTACATGTAGATTGGGAACAAATAATTGTAACTATCATGATGCTACAACATGTCATGCTACCAGAAGAGCTTGTTCATGTGAGAATTAAAATTGAGGTCATGACTTGTACAACCTGCCAAATTTAGTTCTGGATAAAATGGTTTTCTTTTTTGTTCCATCTTGATCAAGTTTTATTGTGGTTTCTTATGACACTACTGCTGTGGCAGCTGCTTATTAGTGAGTAGTGGCAGCACCAGCAGGGATCCTGCTGTGGCATTTCTGACCTTTCTGGTTTTATTACAGTGGCTACAGCCTGGAGGAATTGGAGAAGCACATCTCTCTGCTCCATGAATATAATGATATTAAAGATGCTGGACAGATGCTGCTGGGCAAGCTGGGTAAGGAAGGGGAGAGCTGTTGGAGAACTTCTTAGTCCATGTTTTCATGCAGACAGAGAGAAGCTATTGCACTCTGAAGGCAGAGCTTGTGTTAAAGATTCTTCAATTCTAGGCTTAAATCACCCAATCACCCGAGTACAAGTTATTATTTTCTTGGGATGTTTTTAGAATGGAACATATGAAATAATTGTCATTTACTGCTATCTGTGTTATGGATTACCAGACATTGAATCAATTTTTGTCAGGTTTGTTCTTCATATGCTTAAAAAAAGAAAAGCTGAGACAAGCAGGGGGCATAGTTGGAAATTCTTGGATTGGTTTCTTAGCTAGGGGAGGTTTTTTAGGATAGTTAAAGGCCACTGGGAGGAAAACACAAATTTCCTGGCTGCTCTGATCTCTGTTTAATGGAAGCAATGGTATTTCTTTTCTAGCTGTTATCCGAGGGGTCACTACAAAGCAGCTCTACCCTGAATATGATCTGGAGCTCAGTGACTAGTGCTGAACCTGAAGACTTCCATGTCCTGCAAAAATGACTGTTACTGGGAAATAATTTTTGGTGTCATACTGGTTTAGAACTGGCATAAGGTGGCTTTAGAAGCATGTATGCAGAAGTGCAACAGAGTATGAGTTAACAGCCTGATTTCTAAAGAGCTTTGGAACATGAAAGTTGTTGAATCTATTATTAGTTGTTTCCTGCTTGTGGGAAAGGGATGTAGGACTTTGGAGAAATTAATCTACTACCTGACCCAACAGGATGTTTGGTTTTTTATTGGCAAGGTTGTCATTCAGTTTGGTGTTGAGACTCATCCAGTGGGATCTTTGCTTCTGTGCCACGTTCAGGGGCTGGTTGGTACTGACCAGACTGAAGGAGTGAGGGTTTACAAATGTGCAACACGTTCAGGGGCTGGTTGGTACTGACCAGACCAAAGGAGTGAGGGTTTACAAATGTGCAGTGCAAGAGCTGCTCTGAAAGGAAAGAAAAAAAACCCTCAGAAGTAGGGAGGGAAGAAGGTTGAGGGTTGTGGTTGTTTGAGGGGTTTTCATTTATGATCAAATCTGGATCTTTTGCATTTTTGTACTGAAGTGCTCTGGTATCTGGAGGTTTTGTATCATTTCTGTAGCAAATGGCGAAATGTGGAGTTGTGTTGACCTGTCCAAATAAAGCAGCTATCACATTTCTCAGCAATTCACTTTGAGAGCCTATAAAACATTCCATGAACCTGGGAACAGATTCTCAAGCTATAGTCTGAGGCAACTGTAACACCTATTATTGAAATATTTTCTGAGGTCTCTTAATGGAGTAAGGGGTAGGTGCAGAATTCTTCACTGTCTCCTAAATGCAGATTCCCTGTGAAAGGGAACAGTGTCCTGACCACACAATGGTGTGGGAAGCACCAGTCTTTCAATGTCAAGTGTCACGATTGCACAGAATAAATTTGGTTGCTTTGGGCAGTTTTGAGTGATGAAGTTGCTCTGCTGACTGCAGATCTGTTGTCCCTTTTTCACTTGATGTCCTCCTGCCCATTTCTGCTTGTTAAGTTTCCCCTCTGGTCTCCAGCCAGGCACATGCTGCAGTCTGTTGAGTTGTTTTAAGAGGAGAAAAGTTACAAGAAGGCTAAAACTGGGGAATGCTGACTTTGTTCTCAAAGCTCGTGCTGCTGTTTTGGCTGGTATTTTTCTGTCTGGAGAAGCTGGTTTAAGCCTGGAGTGTTCCAGCCAAAATGTGAAGTCTGGCAACGGCACAAGCAACTGGAAATGGTTTTATAGTCCATTGCCAAAGTTACTGAAGGTCATTTTAGGACTGAGAAGTCCATGTTTTCTTCCCCTCTCTGTGCAAGTGTTCTGCCTGGCTGCAAATCTCTCACTTCCATGGGGATGGAATTACAGCTCAACACAAGCCACATGTCCATGGGAAGTGTCCCGACCCAGGTCCCTCCTCCGGGGAGGATGAACTCGCACAGAACCAACTAGCTGAGGTGAGAGCAAAATGTCCTTGGGGAGTCCCTGCGGCTCTGCAGCTGCCACGGGAAGTGCCACATGGTGGCAGCTCTGCTGCTGTGCTGAGCAGGGAAACCCAGAACAAGGGGAAGATTCCAGGGCCTAACTTAATGACTCCTGGGATGCTTCAGGACAGGACTCTGCCACTTTATCACACTGCTCCTCTTAGTTCCTTCATGGATAAATTATACTGGCCTCTCCAAATCCAGAAGAAGAATAGAACTAATCTACCAATTTCTGGAAGTAAATCCCCAAACTCTATAGCTAAGTGTATAGCTAGAAAAATACTGAGTGTATGAGTGGTTAAGTGTAACTTCAGACTTTAAATTTAGAAAGTGTATTTCTGGTAAGTGAGACTCGGCTGCAATGAGTTAACAGAAAACTGAGCTTAGAGTTTGACTGGAGGGCAGTACATGCTGTCTGCATGGAGCTGCTGCAGAGTAGGATGCCATGGTCCCCTGAACACTCTTGGTTCCTCAGATGAAAAAAAAAAACAAGCAAAAAACCCCAAACAAACAAAACAAAAACCCCAACAAACCAAAACAAAAGCACCATGCTCTTTTAATGAGTCTGTACTCAGAGATGTGTCCTGAGCCAAGAACCAGCCTCTTCCCCTTTTAGGGAGTTTGTTTTCTTATGCAGCACAGAACCAACTAGCTGAGGTGAGAGCAAAATGTCCTTGGGGAGTCCCTGCGGCTCTGCAGCTGCCACGGGAAGTGCCACATGGTGGCAGCTCTGCTGCTGTGCTGAGCAGGGAAACCCAGAACAAGGGGAAGATTCCAGGGCCTAACTTAATGACTCCTGGGATGCTTCGGGACAGGACTCTGCCACTTTATCACACTGCTCCTCTTAGTTCCTTCATGGATAAATTATACTGGCCTCTCCAAATCCAGAAGAAGAATAGAACTAATATTTTCTACCAATTTCTGGAAGTAAATTCCCAAACTCCATAGCTAAGTGTATAGCTAGAAAAATACTGTGTAAGAGTGGTTAAGTGTAACTTCAGACTTTAAAATTAGAAAGTGTATTTCTGGTAAGTCTGGCCTCTCCAAATCCAGAAGAAGAATAGAACTAATCTACCAATTTCTGGAAGTAAATCCCCAAACTCTATAGCTAAGTGTATAGCTAGAAAAATACTGAGTGTATGAGTGGTTAAGTGTAACTTCAGACTTTAAATTTAGAAAGTGTATTTCTGGTAAGTGAGACTCGGCTGCAATGAGTTAACAGAAAACTGAGCTTAGAGTTTGACTGGAGGGCAGTACATGCTGTCTGCATGGAGCTGCTGCAGAGTAGGATGCCATGGTCCCCTGAACACTCTTGGTTCCTCAGATGAAAAAAAAAAACAAGCAAAAAACCCCAAACAAACAAAACAAAAACCCCAACAAACCAAAACAAAAGCACCATGCTCTTTTAATGAGTCTGTACTCAGAGATGTGTCCTGAGCCAAGAACCAGCCTCTTCCCCTTTTAGGGAGTTTGTTTTCTTATGCATCAGTCCCTGCTACAAGCCACTTCCATCACCACCCCTACTCTGGATATAATCATTTCCCCACACTGCTTTGTGTAAGCTGTGATTTCTCCTGCACATCCCTCTTTTAGTCTAATTTTGAGCTCTTGTGTCTCAAAGCAGGACTAAACAGAGGGAAAATAAAATCCACACAGTAGGTAAGTTCTGCTGCCAGTTGTAAGGATCAAACTTGTACAATCAAGGGAATGCAGCTCTGTAACACTGTATTTCCTGCTGCTGAACAATTTGGGGATGGATTTTTACATCCCATAGCAACCAATGTTCCCAGACTCAACAGGAATTTTGGCACAACGAACTGCTGTTAATGAACTGCTTGCCATGCTTTAAAAAAATAATTATACAGCCTGTCATTAACAAAAATGCCTCTCTCTGATCAGTCATGTCAAGGAAAGGGTGGGAGTGAACTGCAATTAACCTCCTTCCTTCAGCTGTCCATCAGGCTGTCAGCAGGTAGCTGTGTTACTGTGCCACAGAGATGGCCTGTGGATCTTCCCTCCATGGCATGCTCAGCTGCCTGCCATCTCAGCCTCCAGCTCCTGAAGAAGACTTCTATCCTGCTGGCCCAGTGTTTTCTCCAACTCTGTTTTGACTTTGAGCTGGCAGTTCTGAATTGCATTCTGGATACTCTGCAGGTCCCACTGGGTTCTCAGCAGAGCATCCTCCAAGGTGAAGACACCGTCGCGGATTCTCCGCACCTGTGTGCACACGGCAGAGGATTTCAGCTCCAGGCCAATCTCATGGACTATTTTTCGGAGGTACTGCTGAGTCTCGTGCAAGCAATGGATTTCTAGAAGGAGAGAGAGATTCCTTTAGAAGAAGCAAAGCACTGACACCAACTCAGACCTTGTCTGTAAAGCCAGACACATGGCTCACCGTTACCCTGAAAGAACTGGTTTGGTAGGAGAGACTATTTAAGATACAGCAGTTGGATTATGGTTTTCTGGAATACTGCAGGGTGTCCTAGTCTCTCCCAAAGTGAACATTTTAGAAGACAAACCCACAGATACAGGAGGGTAATGTGGAATTTTAGTATTTTAAAAAGGGTAAGACATGCAATTGGTGAGGAGTAGGAGCCTGGCTGCAGGAAAGCAAACCATGCTTTAAAAAAACAAGAACAAACCCAACACTAAAATGCATTACACTAAAATATTGGGATAAGGAGGAATTTTGCCCCATAAGGATTCATCATGCACACTTTCTCACCTCAATCTTAGATCTGGAACTGGCAGGGTAAGAAACTAAGAGTGAGGTGCACAGCTGGCTTCCTTTACTGCAGCAGCTTCTGTGAGGGTTCCAGGCCCTACTAAAAATCTCCACTGCACTAATGAGCTCATCTAACCAGGAGATGATTTTGTGCCTTTGGAAACTACAACCCATTGAATGTTCTGCAGGGATTACCAGTTACGAGTTGACACCAACTCATTTTGCATGAAAGCACAAATAAGAAACTGAAGTTTTCTGACTTATTTGCCATGATACACACTTGAAAGAGCAGTGCAGACACTTGTTAGTTCTCTTCAATAGGAGTCAAAATAATTCCACCCACAATAAAGGAGAGCTACAACTTTTTTTTCTTCAAACTGCCTATATGTTGAGGCTTTGCATATATTTTAATGCTATGATGTGCATACTGTCAGTCATTTGGGAGGAAGGTAGTTGGGTCATGGCTACAAGATATTTCTGTAGGTTCTAATGTAGCTAATAGGTCCTAAAATAGCTGAAGATTTCAGGATGTACAAGGAGGACACTTAACTGCAACCTCTCAATGGAGTTCAAGGCACTCAGAGTAACTTCTCTCTGTTCCTCTCTAATACTCCAACGTTTAAAGACTTTAATGATAGCAAAGAAAATAATCTGGTTTGTCTTAATGAGCAGCAAATGGCAGTCAGAGCCCATCAGCTGGATTTCCCCATTGGATACGTACATCAGCAGGGCCTTGTGATTTGTTCCTTGAATGACAGCAAGAATCCTTTCCAGCTTCTCCCTTGTGATATGATCTGCAAAAATTAAGGAAGAAACAAAGTCTCAATTATCTATCCAGAAACCAGAGAGAGACAGTGGTCTGAAATGTGCCACCAAGGTATTGCTGTCCCCTTGGCAGGCAGGCACATCAGGGCAGGCTGATGAGAACTGCCCAGACAGGCTCTGGCAGAGCAGAGTCACTTCTCACTGTACCATGGCAAAGCAGAAAGATGGACTACAAAGGGAAGAATCATTTTGCTGAACTGATTTCAGGATGTTGGCTTCAGTTGCTCTTAAAAGGTTTTTTAAGAGTTTCATTCAATGAAAGCTTCCAACCACTCTGGTGCTGGAGAGATCTGGGTCCCAGTCAGTCCAGGGGCAGCCACTGTGATCAGGACTCACACTGACTTGGTATATATTGTGGTTGTACTTAGCAGGCAGCTACAAATAAAAACTAGCAAGCACCTTTGTGCAATTTACCAGGTTACCTGCTTGGCAGTTAGAATGCTATTTGTTTGGTGGTGGGTTTTTTTAAAAAAAAACCAACAAACAAATCAATTTCTTACCAAATGTTGTCTTTTCTATTAGCTTCCCTGTGTCTGAGAAGTCATCAGTGGCTTTACCAAACAGCCCACCAACAGTGTAAACCTTGAAGAAGAGCAAAGAGTGTAATTTAGCAAATAAATACTCCAAGCGAGTAGCAAGATTCTCCTGTGCAGCTGCCAGGACACACAGGCTGATGCTGCTGCACAAAAATACAGCAATATCCTCTGCTCATGTGGATGCTCAAGTGAAGGATGAACTTCTGGACCCTGCAAAGCTTTCAAAAGCATCAGTGGGTTTGGGACTGGAAGCAGAATCACCATCACGAGGCCAGTCTGGGGCACTGGGGCAGGAATCAAGTGGGCAGTTGCACTGGGATGTTCTGGGGGTGTTCAGAGCCATCACTTACCTTGGTCAGGTGGCAGTGGTACAGGTCGGTAAGCAGCTTGTTCCCATGGCCTATGCCAAGAACTGAAACACAGTAGATGGGAGAACCCATGATTCAACCACCTGGGAAGTTACTCAGGTGCATTTACACAGCACTGCACACTCACACTGCTTTTCTTCCCCACTCTGGACAGGCCTTATAAGTCATGTCCGAGCAGGTTAATTAGACCCCCAAATTACTGCCTGCCATTAACTCTATGATATGGCTGTAACTAAGGCACTTGGATGTTCCCAGAACTTCTCCCCTGGATACTTCAGGGCAAATGCTCAGCAGTGCCAGACACAGGGAAGCCAACCCCAGTGGTGGAGCAGGGGCAGGGGCTCTGTGGGGTTACACGACGGATCACTACGGGTGTCCCAGACAGGGGCCTGGTGTCCCACAGCACAGCCAGCAAACCCCACAGACGGGTTGTTCCCATCTGGCACAGCCAGTGCCCTGCTGGATCGTTTATTCCGTGTTCCAGCTGGGCCGTGAGACCGGGGGTGCAGGCGCTGCTGTGTCACGGCCCAGCGTTCACCCCCCCGTCCCCTCAGCCCGCGGGACACGGTGCTGCCCGGACCAGACCCACCGAAGACTCCCGAAGCCTTCACGTCCAGCAGGTGACCCGCTCCGATCCTCCGCTGCCGCGCACG